TATTCCTTGTTTGGCACTAATCCAAGTATAAGTTATCCCAAAATAAAAAATAGTATCAGAATAACTATACTTGCCAGATGGTGGAATAAAAATCCCAAGATAAGTTATCCCTGGATAAAGCAGTAAAATTAATAATCGCACGACTAATACAACATACCAAATAGTCAATAAAAAATAATAGCAGGATAACTTATCCTGGTATAACTAATCCCAGCATAACTTGTCTTCGCACAAAACGACCCCTGAAAAGAAAAGTAGCAACTTGAATCTGCTGCATTGAAAAGTAACGACCATTGAAGAGCAAACACCGAAGACTCTAACGCCTCAACTTACAACAAATCTGCTGCATTAGGAAACATTGAAAATGGGAATTTCTTCTGCTTAAACACTGCTAGCAGTGATCCTAACCTTATTAAGTGATTGCCACTGAGAATATATGGAGTGTAGGAGAAGAGATAAACAGAAACTAGCTATATATACATTCTCAAATTAATGCATAAGAGATAAACAGAAACTAACTTAAATAGCTTTCTGCGCAAAATAATAGCCAAAAAATGTATATATTGTGTATAAATTGATGTATAATAAATGTATGATGACGAGGAAATGTAAATGATTTTGGTCGAGCGGCCAAACGTGTAACTTCCCGTAAGATTAACAACCTGCTGATCCTTTTTCTTTTTTCCTTCAAAACACCAATCATCATTAAATTTTTCCACTTAAGTGAAGGGAATACTCTATATCCTTCCTAACCTGTATATTATCTTCTGCTGTTGTATATTCTACGAAGCAATCATAACTTTAAGTCAATTGAAAGGAAGGCATTACAGTGTTTAAAACCATTCTACACCAGCAAGTGTAGGCATGAACTATGTTCTCTCTAAAAGTGCTGCCGCACCCGTGTCGGATCCTCCAAAAATACACTAAATTTGGATGATCCGACACATACCCAACAACAATTTTGAAGAGTCCGAGTACCATAGGGCATGAAAACATAGAATCAACTGCTAAAGAGTCAAACATAGTATGGAACTAAATATAGACCTTTGAATATATCCAAGTGAGATGGATTGTTAATTTCATCTTAGCCATAGGAATATATTCTTTTCGCAATACGACATTTTGTAAACCTCACCCCCACAAACTAGACATAATTAAACTAACAATAGGATTATACAGTCAAACTTCTGTATAACAATCTCGTTTGTTCTGGATATTTTTTTATGTTATAGCGAATTGTTGTTATAGAGAACATAGATTATAATACAACATGAAATTTGGTTCTGGAAAAAACTTGACTTTTATAGTGAAGTATTGTTATATAAGGATGACGTTATAGAGATGTTTGACCGTATATATCTTTTGGCAATACGACATCTAGTAGATCCCAACCGCAAAATGCCCAAATGTTGTGTTTCTTCTTCTTTATTTTTTTCCTTTTCATTTGGTAAACCCCACCCCACAAACCCCCTCTCAAGGGGATAATAGTGATTTTCCCGATTTTTTTCTCCTTGATGACTCGAACTCTGAATCGCTTCATTAGAAGTGGGATTCTCTTACCACTTAGCAACATCTCTAGCAGTAGCATGAATTTTTTTCCCTTTTTTGTGTTTCAGGAACTTACATCCAGTTTTGGATTTTAAAAGATTCAACTTCCAAGTTCCAACTTAGCATAAACTAGCAATAGGACTATATTTCTTTTGGCAATACGGTGAGTTTGGGCCATTTGATTGTGGNGACAATTAGTTTCAGAGTAATTGGATGACCAAAAATAACTTACGCATTTTGAAGGACAAAATATAAATTTACATGCTTATCTTGCAGTTTACTTTTTTTATGCTATTTGCATAACAATTGTAACTTCAGATAGATGTTAAATTACACATACTCCTGTAACAACTTTGTAAATGATGCCAAACAAACTTACAGATTCAAGAACAATCCAAGCTCAGCCAAGGAGATAGGTAGCCAGAAGTATCCTAGCGCAGTAAAAAGTAGCATAATTTAGAAAAAGAACAAAAAAAGAATAGAAACAACTGGAGAAAACAATCTTGGAATCCAACATTTGAAGTTGGTAAATAAAAACACTCTCCCCGCCACTCAGTCCATAATCTCGCTAAAAAGTAACTCCCCCTCCTCGCGCCTCCCGGCCCCCTCCCCCCGAATTGAGAGAAACTCTTTACTAGCCATATGCAAAAGCCATCTCTATTAGTCCTTTTTACTCCTATTATGTTTATTTAGCTTGAAGAGGAGCCTTGAAGCATTGCTAAAGTTGTCTACACGTGACCTATATGTCACGGATTCGAGCCGTGGAATACTTGCATTAGGGTAGGATGCCTACGTCACACCCCTTAGGGTGCGATCCTTCCCCGACCCTGCATGAAATTTGGGATGCTTCGTGCACCGAGCTGTCTTTTATCTATGTTTATATAGCTCTCTGCGCTACAAATGCGATCATCAATCAATTTTGGTCCAGCACCAGTAGCTCAAAGAGACAATTTTTTCGTTAATTAATCAAATATCATTTTATTGATATATGTTAAGGTATCAGACATTGGTTGAAGACTTGCTGTCTCCTCATATAGTTTCGGACACTTCTCATCTCATTAGTTATCTTTTTGGGGTTGACATATACTAAAGGTCAATTTTCTTAACATGGTATTAGCACCAGGCTCCTCCCTTGATATGTTTCCTAATGTTTGTGCCCTATATAACCACGCTCTAATTATCCATCTCTGAGCGTGCAAGGGGATGTTATAGCATCCCACATCGGTTGACGGAGTGGATGTTTTCTCCTTATATGATCTAATCGAGTAAATCACACCTCATGAGCTAACTTTGGGAGTTAAATTAGACCTAACAATATCCAAGATTTGTATAGATACCACCAACTAGTTATTCTAGGGGTGTAGTTTAATTGATTGATGGATTAACAGAACAATTTATACAAAAATTTGCAAGTCACATCAATGTTATACTGGTCTTGACAACAAGTGGTCAGATATTTATCATCTCGTCAGATTCACCTAAGTGAAACTAAGAAACTAAGGACTCATTTAATTTGGTACGAGGGATAAGGGATAATTAATTCTCGGATTAAACTTGAAATGAGCTTATCCCGCGTTTGGTTGGGATAAAATTGCGGTATAACTAATACCGAGGTTAGTTATCACGGAATTATAGTGTTATTTGTTTTCCTATTGGAGGGTGAGATAACAATCCCAGGATAATTAATCCTGGGATAACTTGTTTCCCAACTAAACGACCCCTAAATGAATCATCATGCTATCAAGCATTGTACTCTTGTACATCAATGAACTACAAGAGAGACGATGTTGGAAGTATGACTAGCTAGAGTGGAGAGATTTTAGCAATGCATGATGACAAGTTCTAAAATCAAGTAAAATGGTATAAACTTACATTTCAAGCTCCAAAAAAATGTCGGATAGTCAAAAGAGAAGATAATAATTCTAATTCAAGTAAGAGCTAATTAAATTGAAATTGCTTTACTACTACCTAAAGTGTTAGAGGATCAAATCATGAATCTTTGCACAACAAGTCTAAAAAACAAGCCAAGGAGGGAGGAAAGCCTAGCGGTATTCGTATCAACGAGGGAACAAAGCAGAAAAAGGTCACCGTTAAGCTTCTGGGTAAGGGGTTTAAGGGGGAGCGGGTGAGGTTTACCGTATCAAAAAATTCCTCCATAAAGCCAGCATAACCTCGCGCATTTTTCCCTGGCTGCCTTTCATCTTATCATTAATATGAAATGCTTGGCATGCCTATAGTTCATCTTTATATTCTGCAATGTACAAGCAAGAGCTACTTGGTTACCAATAACATTAGGGCCGGGAGAAAGCTACTTACAACAACAACTATGCCTCGGTCCAAAACAAGTTGGGGTGTCCGCTATATAAATCGTCTCTGACCAATAACAATAGGGGGGG